TTTGAATATCACCTTATCTTTCCAGAAATGAAGTTCTGTACCTGTATACACATATGTATGTAATTTAGTTACGTATGCGTTAGTATATATACATTAAGTATAAGAATGCATTAGTGAACTTAAGTATAGGTACAAATATATCACAGTATTTCTATCATATTATCAATCATGTTGTCATTATAATCATCATCAATTTATTTAATCAATATTATTACCATTGATATACCTATGCATTAATGTATTACACTTATATTGAAATATACTATGCACATAATTTGAATATACTAATACACATGTGCATTTTTTACAAAAAATACCCTAAGAAAATTTACATAATAATAAATCTTAATAAAATAATAGCTTGGTATATTTCTTCAAAAAATTTTTCTGTTATACACAAAGAAATATTTTAATATTAAAAATTTTCACTCATTTTTTGTTCTATTTTTTTTGTTATTGTTTAAGTTTGTGTGCATATACTTACAGGTGAATAAATTAAATTATGTTAATTATTAAAAAAAAAAAATGAATATTAAAATTAAAATTATTGAAATTCAAGAAAACAAGACGAAAATATTAGCAGACTCATGTACTGTGGATATAAAAAACATATTTTTTCGGAAAATTTTTTAACTTTCAAAATATTAATATTTTAATATGAAACTTGTTGCTTATTTATAGTTGCTTTTATCCCCCATAAGGGACCGAGGCACTTAGGCCCTTCTCACATCGACCCATAACATCTTTTGCTGCCAAATTTCAGTATAGAAGCCACCTGAAGCCGTGAGACATTCATCGGGATAACAAAAACCCCTTCGGAAGCATATCAGTCGTAGGCGAACCATTGCTTCGCACACACACAATAAGTGCTTAACCGTTTCGTTCTCTTTAAGGCGGAGACGGAACACCTCCGTCTTACCCATCCTTTTCAAATGGAAATCGTGAGGCAGTGTCCAGTGAGTATACCCACCAATTGCCTCAAATCTGGACGACAAAATGTGGCCAGTTCCCGCCTTCTCCGTCCCAAGAAAAATATACATTTTTTGGAGTGAGATTGGCCCGGGAAGTTCTTCCAATTACAGTTTTAGTACCTTATAGGTTGATTTACGTGATAATGTCATACATTTTATTATATATTACTGAATAGTTCCAAACCAAACCAAAATTTTGTTTTAAATCTTATATACGAAAAAATTAATTTCGTATTATTATGGACTCTAAGCAAACTAACCGGCCCTATCATTTTAAAAAATATGAGATATTTCACGAAGAGCATGTCATATTAAAATTTAATAGTTACCATTCTCGCAGGTAAATAGAAGATGGTCATTATTTTCTATAAATTTCCAGAAATTTCGTAGAGCGAGCAAATGAAAGTGAATGCACAAAAAGAGGAGTTTAGAACGTCTTTGTAAAAAAATGTTATTTACCTAACTTAAAAAAGATGACGCGAACTGTATAAGTCAAGTGTTCTAAATGTTAAAAAATCAACAAAATTTCGATAAACACAAATACAAATTTTGTAACATAAATTTTTTTTATAAAATTTTCCACCTCACATTTCTATGGAAACACCAAAATCTCTTTTTTTTTATTTTCTTTTATTTTGTTTTTTTCTTTTTGATTTTTACATATACGGTTTTTAATTCGAGATTAAATTGAATTATGTATGATTTTAAGGGTTGAAAAATAGTATATAATAAAACCATATGGATATAGGCATACACACTCGATATATACATACACTTATACATACATAATATTATGTCATATAAAAGTGTATTAAAGTTTTTTTCAAATTTTTAACAAACACATTTGTAAAAAAAATAACAAAAATGTAAATGAAACGGGAATTTTTTTTACATATACCTAATTATTTATGTATATATATATATGTATATATATAAATGTATGTATACATAAAAAAAGGCATCCCATTATTTATATCCACAAAAAGAAAAACAACTGTCCACATATGTACATAGTCATGGAGAATAAAAATCAAGAAAAAGATGAGAGGAAAAAATTATGGTTTTTTAAAAAAGAGAAGAAAAATTCATGAAAGAAAAAATTTCCCCTTCAAATTGCAGATCAACGGCGGCATTATATAAGAAAATTTTTAAGTCATTTAATAAATGTTTATTCTTATCACGTAGGTGGCAGAATGTAGCGGCAGCTGCTATGATTTTTGCAGAGAATTTTCTAAACTGTACATTTATCTTTCTTATTGTCTTTCATTTCTTTCTCATTTTTATATATACGTGAAAATAAATAAAACTTTCAATGTGGTCCGTTTAAAATTCAAATAATTTGAAATACAAAAACATATTGTATAAATAAAAATTAATTGTTTATATTATTCTGTCGCAAAAAAAATTTACGTTTGTTCTCCTATAAATATGCAAAATTTTATATTTTATATATAATCAAAATCTGTGTAGTAATATCAATGGTAATTCATCATAGATAACACTACTCGTGAAGAACTCTACAATTTCAGTAGATTTACGAATTTCCGCAACATATGTACGTAGCATTTTAATTATTTTAATAATTTTAAAATGATATTTCGTAAAAATTTTAAAATTATTAATTATTAATTTTCATATAACAGAAATTCTGTGTTAAAATTATATTATTTTTTAAGATGCCAAAATAATATACTAAAATTAAAAATATGACATGAATTCCATATAGAACAAATTTCTCATTCTCAGTATACAAAATAAATATAATATGTCTTTGTAGACATGTGTATTTAAATAATACACTTAAGTATATATATATTACAATACACCATAAAACGATGTTACAATTGTCTATAAAACGACGCTTTTATGCAATGGTGCCAATTATATTGGCCCTTCATTTTTTTAAAATAAAATTTTCATTTAAAAAATTTCATAAAAAAAAATTGTCCCGAACCTGTCGAGATCTTCAATTCAAGATTTATTGAAAAAAATAGGAAGCCGAAATATCACGATTCTTCTTATATTAAGTTGACTTTTTGGACAAAATGTTTTTTTGTAAACCTTGGAAAATATGAAGAAAAGTGTAAAAAATTAAAAATTTTAAAGAGCTTCAGTAGTATTAAAAAAACTTAATTTTGAAAATATTTTTATATGTAGAATTTAAAAATTTTTAATTTTACATAAAAGCTTCATTTTGAAGATAAATCTTCACTTTTGGTAGGGCTGCTTTAATATCTCTTTCTTTACTCAAACTAAGCTTTTCTCAATAACATCACAATTCACAATATTAAGAATACACAAAAAAAAAACCAACAACAACAACTTTAATTAATAACAATCAAATCAAAAGAAGAGATAAAATTAAAATTTCAAAATCAACAAAAAAAAAAAAATAGAAAGAGAAAGAGAAAAATAAAAGTGCTTTTTTCGCAGAATATAAAAGAAAAATTTCCTATCGTAAAATAAAAACAACAATACCAAAAAAAAATGTCAAAAAAAAAGGGGAGAAAGAATTTTTTTTAATAAATGCAATACGTACATTCAGACACATATCATACATACATATACATATACACATCATATCGCAAACCATAATGTCATTTACATTCATGCAATCAATATAATCGCAACATAAAAATTGTTTTATATACTACATGTTTGATGTTATATGTTCGTATTCAACATTCGGTATAACATTCAAAAACAGTAAAAATATTATTGAATAAAATTTTAAATTTATCTTAATAATAATTGTAAATACTTATGTATATACATTTTATATGTAAGTATATATATATAAACTCAAACTTACATTATTTATTATGAATGATATTCCAAATTTAAGCTACAATTTACCATTCTTAATTCTCACTCACAATGAAATTTTGAATACAACCAACCCCACTCATTATAACAGTAAAATAGAGAAGACTTTATATTTTGTTTCATATTTAACTCATATATATATGTACATATATATTTTTTGTAAATTTTCTTGTTTACGATTTAAGAATATTATTTTTTTTTGAAATTTTTTATATTTCCAATTTTTTGCTTTCTACTTTCCGTTCTTTTAACTCATTACTTTGTTTTCCTTAGTGTGTATTCCTTTAAATTAAGGAAAAAAAAATGATCAGAATTCCAGAAACTTTACTGTGTTCTCCCTATATTTTTCATTGATAACATACATAACAATTATAATGAAAAGAAATTGTTTTTTTACTGTTATAAAATCCATTTAAGTTGTATAAAATACTCGTAATATAATATTTACGTTTATATTTCATATAAAATAACATATTATTTTGTTATACATACTGTTATACGAACGCGCGTATTATAAAAAAAAAAAATTGAATATTTCGCACTGCTGTCACTGACGCCACCGTCGCCGTCGCCATTATCGCTACCACCATCCAATATTGTAACAATAAAAAAATTTGTATGTATACATGTAAAAATAAAATAGAAATTTTATGTTTTTTGTTTAATTTTTTTTTTCTGTGTATGTTTTTTGTTTTTTTTTTTGTTATTTTGTTGAAAATTAAATAGCGGGAATGGGAAATTTTCATGAGCGCAAGTTTTTTTTTCGAGTCTTTTTTTTTCTCTTATATATTTTAGTATGTATATATGAATATTTTGAATTTACGTATATAAATATGTTAGAGCGTGTATATATGATGTATATAAATTGTTATACACAATTTTTTATATGTATGTAAATAAATTTGTATATTATGTAAGTGTGTATATATAAAAGGTTGGTTTTTTTTTATTATTTTAATTTTTTTTTTGTTGCCTTTGATTTTTTATTTTCTGTTCATTTTTTGTTTTTGTTTTATCTACTTAACTATAACTGTGAAAGTTTGACAGTGGTATATTGAACGGATGGAAAATTTTTAATTCAGTCGGAAAACAGCCATCACGGTTGGTTTTTGGTTCACTCCATCTAAAATTCAAATACACTTCAGGACGTTTTCATTATAAATTTTTTTTTTTTTTGGTTAATTTTTTTTTCTGTTATATTTTTTTTGATGATTTTTTTTTTTTTAAAAAAAAAAAATAATTTTTTTTTAATTTTTTTTCGGATTTAATTTTTTTGTTTTCAATTTAATTTTTAATTAATTTTTTTTTTTCTGTGAATTTATTTTGGAAATTTTTTTTTTTCGGCGATTTTGTAATAATCTTGTGGTTTTAGTTTTCATTCTTTTTTTTTTATTTATTTTTAATATTTTGTTTATATTCCTGTTGTTTTCGAGGGGGTACAAAGTAGAGAGTAAAAAAAAAAAGAAACAAGAAAAATAAAAAAGGAAAATTCAATTTTTCTTACTTCATTTTCGGTCTTTGTTATTCCATTTTTTCGGTTTCGGATAAATTTTGCTGAAAAACAAAATTTTTCTCTATTATAAAAGAAAAATGAAAAAAAAAATTTTATTTTAGAGTATAAGTAGAGAAAAATGTGTGAAAATTAAGTCAAAAAAGGAATAAGAATCTTTAGTAACAGAAAGCAAATAAAGAAGAAGAAGTAAAAACAAAAAAAAAAGAAAAAAAAAATAAAATAGGAAGAATTTTCTTTTCGATAAATTTTTGTTTTTTTTTTTTCTGAATTTTCACGAATAGAGGGAAAAATTTTTTTATTATTTTTCTTTTTTATTAATTTTTTTTTTTTCGTTTTTCTCTGTGTACAACTTTTGCGTTTTGTTGCTCTTTAATATTATCCTTATTTTTTTTTTGGTAATTTTTGTTTTCCTTATTTCTTTTTCACAAAAGTGTATATTTTGTTTTTGTTACGAATATTCATACACAAAAAAAAAAAAAAAAAAAAAAAACTTCGTTTTTATCGTTTCATTCCGAGTCCTTCCCTATACTTTATGTGTAATTTGGGTATGTACACCCGTATATGTTCAGCCACGGTAGGACGTGTTACATCAAAAAATTAAATTAAAGTTAGTTTTTTTTTTCTTGTCGGAAAAAAAAAGAGAAAAAAATTAATTATTTAAATTAAAATAAAAAAATTTTGAAAAAATTTACAAAAAAAAACAAATTTATGAAAAAAAAATTTCCATTCAAGATATATGCATTTGTGATTGTGTTTTTAAAGGACCTATTATTCTAAATAAAAAAAAAAAAAATAATAAAAAAGAAAAAGAATTTCTATTAAATTTATTTTTGGCCTACATTTAAAATTTTTAAAATATTTGAAAATATTAAAAAAAAATAGAAACAATTATAATTAAATTTTAATTAAACTGATTTTTTTTTTTTAATTTAAAATTAAATTTTAAATTAAAAAAAAAATATTAAAATTTTTATAAATTTTTTTTTAGGGAAGAAAGTTTATTTTTCGGTTGAAATTTCATAATCGATTCATCTAATACAGAAAAAAAAAGGATTAATCATTATTAATATACAAATATATATATACATCAACAACCTCACATAATATAATAAAATATATATATATATACATATATATATATATAAAAATAAAATAAAGTTAAAAGTGTTGTGAGTAAAGATCAAACAAAAAAAAAAAGAAGAGAAAATTAAATAAAAAGAAAATTTTTTTTTCCAACACCGCCGCCATCCTGACGTCGTTAAAGAAGAAATTTTTTAATAATAACGTTTCTTAGCAATAGATTTTTCTCTTAAAAAAATATATATATATATTTTTATTATTATTTTTTTTTCTTCAAAAAATTCATAAATATATTTTCTGTTCCACCACATTATTTTGTTGGTTATATTTTATAATATAAAAAATTATTTAATCAGAATTTTTAAAAACACCATACAACACAAAAAATAATTTTGAGTGAAATTAAAAAAAAATTTAAATTAGAGAAAAAAAAAAATTATATTTTAAAATTTTGAAAAAAAAAAACACCTCAAGAAATTCACATTTTTCTCGTTTATTGTTCTTATCTTATTTTATTAAAAAAAAAAGAAAATCGTATATAAAATAAAAATACAAGACAACATCATCCATTCTTTATAATAAAAATTAAATATAAATAATAAAATTAATAAAATTAATAAAATATAAATTGAAAAAAAAAAAAAACAAGAAAAAAAATAAAATAAATATGCAATCATCAACGGCAATTACGATTACAGCTCTTTTATTGCTGATAACCATTCAATCAGGTGAGTTTTTTTTTTTTCCTTTCTCTTATCATATCTGAAAAATTTTCTTTTATCTTATTCTAAAAATATTTATATATGAATATTAATTTTAATAAAAATCTTATATTTAACCCCATAATTCTTAACTGTTATATAATAATATTAAAATACTTCAAAAAAAAAAAAAAATACTTCAAAAAAAAAAAATATTTTCAAGAAAAATAAATTTATTTGAAATTAGAGCGATTACATAAGAAGTTCAATTGAAAAACAATGAAAAATTAACAAAAGAAAAATATGTGTACACACACACGCATATACACATACAAAAAAAATTTATGTGACAATGTTATATAATATTATTATTGTGTATAAGAGGAAAAGCATAAAGTAAGAAAGGAAAAGAAAGGAAATACCTATATTTAAGAAAATAAAATAATAAAAAGAACAAATATATATACATACATACATAGACAAGAATTGAAAATTTATTTCAACTTCTTTTTTATTTTCTTTCAATGTATTTGTGCTTATAATTTTTCGTGCTCTTTTTTTCCTTTTTTTTTTTTGTGCTCCTTATATCTAATATTTCCTTTATTTTATGTAATTATATTCATAATAAAATTTTATTTTCTTATTTTCTTATCATCCTTTTTCCTTAGCTGACTATTCTTATATTAAATATATATATATATATATGCATACATATAAGTATATATATTAGGAATACATACTCGAATTTTCTAAAAATAAAATATCCCTCTAGAAGTTTTCAATTATATAAACTATATTAATATTATATTATTATATATGTACTTATATAATGTGTACTTACGCACAATTTCCCATTTCATCTATATTATGTACACATACAAACAAACAAAAAAAAAATATATAACATTAAAAAAATATGAAAGAGAAAATAATATGAAAAAAAAAATGTTAGTAATATTTTCATTTTTGCTTTTATTTTTTTTTATTTTCTCTTTTATATTATAACATTATAAATTTATACCAACTTTATACTGTTATAGTTCTATATATACATTAATATAATTACAGTTAAGTAGTATATTGTGTAGTACTCATTTCATTGTACTTGATTATTGTTATATAAAAATGTTGCTCTATATATAATATAAATGTATAATATAGATTTTTCTTTCTCTCTTCTTGGTCTCTTTAATATTTCTACTATTGTATGACATCATATATTTTAATGTTATAATGACAATAATATTATTATTAATATGCATATATATATATATATGTGTTTATGTTTATATATGTAGTTATAAAATGTATTAACTTAAATATATTATAATGTTTAATAAAGTATAAACACAAATGTATATGAACGTTAATGCTATTATAAAAAGAAGAAAAAAAATATAAAAAATATATATAATAAAAAATAGTTTAATATAGGTAGACATGTAGGTATAGATGTGTTATACATATATATATGTAAGCATATAGGATATTTTAAATAGAATATTATTATTTTTTTTTTGTTTACATACATACTTATTTCTATTCAAATATTTTAATATGTCCAATGATTCATTTCTTACATTGTATATATAAAAAGTAATATAAAATTTTATTATATGAACGTATAGCAGTTCTTTGCATTATAAATGTACTAAGTCCGAAAATGTAATTTTTTAAGTTCAAAGACAATTACATATTTCAAGTATGCTCTTCTATACGAGCATATTATTTATTATATACACATGTTGACGAAACACCTTTGCAACACAATGGTATTAATAAAGAAAATACAATTGCTAATGTTCGAACGCACTTCAAATAATCTCATTTCAGTCTTTGTTATTATATTTTCAAATATTTAATATAAGCTTTTAGGATTAATTATATGGTAGCTATTACCGAATCTATTGTCCGAATTGGTTCAATTACAATAGTAGCCGTCCTTGGTAGTGATAAAACAATTTGTAATTTTAATGGCGTTTACTTCATTCATTTTTGACCTGAACGAACGAACGCACATGTTTAAATTGACGTAGAATTCAACACTAAACATAAGTATATTATATATATATATGTCCATAATGCAGATGACTCCTACAATAAATTACAAACTCCATGCCAAAGTTAATATATCCTTTGCGATAATAATAATACTTTCGTACAACAATAGTGTGTTAAAGTGAAATAGTTCAATAAGTCAGTTTCAAAGGACCTTTATATAACAACTAAGTGTATAAATTTCAAATTTTTGACCTACTTCACTTTTTTTGAAGATTGCATATAATTAGGATGAGACAAAAAAAAACATTGAAAACATATTACTCGAATTTAGGAGTAAATCCAATTGCATGATTTAAAAAAAATTATTATATATTTTTATGTCATGGCATTTACCGTTAGCTATTAAAGAAATTTGGAAAAGCTTGCAGTTTCGGAAATACATATAAGGAGTGAAACACTAAAATTTTTCCAATTTCGAGTGATGATAACTTGAAGGTAGGTGGAGGTAGACAAAAATTTGCTTTAATTTTAATCCATTTTTCAATTTTTCTTTTATCTCTCATCCTAAATGTATGCAATCTTTGGAATATTTTGATATTTGCATGAATGTAATTTTAATTATGTTGTAAAATATTTGACCCAACTTAATTCTTTAATAAATTCCATACTGTAATAATTATATGAACAATTTTTCTATACGATTTTCTCGAAATTGATTCCTTTCAGTTAATACATTTTTTTTCACCAAGGTTTATGTAATGTAATATAAATATAAAAAATAATTTAATAATATAAAATTTTATAAAATTTCATATGCATATCATATTATTATAATCATATGCATAAATGTCTGTATATACACAAATAGATATTATGTATATATTATATTAAATAAACGTAAATATAAAATAAATGTGAGGAAAAAAAGTAACAAAATAAAATAACAAAATTAATTGAAATTTATATTATATAAATGTTGCCATATACATAAAATATATTTGTATATATTATACTTTTCATACATATGTACAAACATATTTAAATATATAACTAATATTAATATTAAATATATTTATATAATATAAATTTAAACAAATATATAAAAAATTAAATAAATACTTAAATAATAATTAATATATCCGGGTTCAAAGAATATTATGTTAATTATTTGTATTGCATTATAATAATATTAAACAAAAATAAGAAAAAAAAATTAATGATAAAAAGAAAGAAAACAAAAATTTTTTTAAAATAAATTTACACACATATTCACACATATGTATATTTACTCATACTTAATTATGTATTATCCTTGTTTTTTTTTCTTTCTCTCTCTCTCTCACTCAAAACAATAATTAAAAAAATTGTAGATGTATAACATTTTACCTATATGAAAAATTTATTGAAAAAAAAAAATTACTATGAAAATTTTGTAAACTGTACTTTTTCAAAAAAAAAAAAAATAAACGTCCATTTTTTTTTAATTTGTTGTTTTTTTTTTAATTTTATTTTTTTTTTTTTTGGTTTTTTCTCCATGAAATTTATAGTGAAACAATTTAAATTAATTATACACACGACATGTAATATAAAATTTGCGTATACCTTGAGTTCTTGTATATTGTACATAATTTAAATTGATAAAGAACAAATTCATAAAAAACTCATGCTTAAGAGTTCTCCAACTCATGTACTAACTTGATAAATTGAATTTAAATTTTGTATGCAGCAAGCATTATAAAATCTAAAAATAGTAATAGGATTTTCAGGAAAATTAATTAAAAAATTGAAGGGAATTTTTTGAATTTTAGAAACTGTTCAGAATAACGCGATTGAAAATCTGTTAGGATTCATAAAATTTCTCAGGATTTCTGGGCTTTTGCTGTATTTAGTTGGACATTTTAATATTGAAATCACTGATGAACTAATATACCATTACCAGATAATTTTATATACCATTAAAAGACAAATTCTATGTAAGTTGTTAAAATTATGAGTATATAAATAAATAAAATAAATAAAATAAATAAATAAATGAAATCAATAAAATTACCAACAATGTCATTTACAATAACAAAATATTTAAAATCATAAAATATTGTTATATTATTCCATTATACTGCAAAACCATTTCTACGAAATTCATAATTTATGCAAGGACAACTGTTATATCAATTCTATATTGCCAACATTTTAAAATCAAAGATTGTATATATAATTAATATGAATTATTCCTCATAATTTAGTTGTTCTCAATAATTTTAGGGTACATTTAACAAATTTTTTGAAAATATCTATAGTATTTAATATGGGAATTCTTAATTACCAACTTTATATTTTTCAATTTAACATTGAAATTAATATATAATAATCCATTTATAATAAATTTTTTTTTAACAAATCTATTATACAGTTGAAATTACCATCATGGTATAGGCACATTACCCTCAACTATAATAAAATTTAATATTATTTTATAAGGTTTCTTATGTTGCTCTTTACAAATACCTACGTTCCATTCTTATAGCTATATTAACAATATTTATATACTCCTTTTAAAAATGTAACCTACTCTTTGAACTTATATTCTTTTGAAATAATCATTTTGTTCTATTCCTTTTTGAAATGTGAAATGTTCCAAAGGATAATTTGTAATTTTATTTTATTTTTTTTTTTAGATTTCAACACTTTTACTTTAAATTTCATATGTTTTGTTCTTTATATTTCTTTTCAACTATATTCTTTAAATTTTTTCTTAATATTATGTTGTTAGTGTACTATCTAGTAATATAAATTTTAAGATTAAAGAAAGTGAATTTTGAAGTGCAATAATAAAAAATTTTAGGAAAAGAATAAGAAAAAAAAATTTATTTTTTACTGATTTTTACTTTTTACACACATTTCTTTATAGTTTTTACAATTATTGTTCTTATATACACCAAATATATCCCATAAGTGTTATACTTGTAGTATATATAGAATTCTATTATGCTTCGTAATCGAATTGAACTTCATTTTACCAAAAAAAT